ATCCAGTACATCCATCCACTTCAGTACCAAACCTTTACCATCCCCCTCAGACCAGTAGGACCACAACAAAAACTCTCCACTCTCTTCACAATCATCCACAAACACCAGCACCCCCAATTTAAGGTAAGAAATACATTATTTCTGCTACATTTGTAATCTTGTGCAGTAAAAACAATGTAATACATCACAACAATGAACTACAATTACATATAAAATGGGACACTTATATTTTTGTAAGACCTGTTGGTCTAAAAAAAAAGTTGTTTGGCTTTTTGGGGGCTCCCAGGAATGTAACTCAATTTTTCCCATAAGCTCTTCAATTTGTCTAACACGGTTTTGCCTAACATGGCATTTTCAGGGAAAATAACTACTATGTTTAACAACAGTCTACTGTATATACCAAAATAATGAACAGCATTCCCAGGTATTAATGTGAACCCTTGCTGAGCATAAATGTTCCATACATATATACCACTATGTATTTGTTAACAAAAATCAATATTACTATAATGAGAGATTTATCTTACTGATGCTTATCAGATGTTTTTCTCTAATTATGATATTGTAGTACTGGTTATAATATATATGTATATACATTAATGAAAGTAACATAAGAGAAAAATATATACAGTCTTCAAAAAATTTTCTCTATATATAGTATCAAACAGTTTTTATTCAATGCAAATTTTCAAAAAAAACTGCATGTAATAATTGCAATCTGTTTTGATATAAGAAAAATAAAATACAGTGGTACCTTGGCTTACAAGTTTAATTCGCTCCGTGACAAAGTCAAAACTCAATTTGCTTGTACAGTGGTCCCTCGTTTTTCGTAATTAATCCGTTCCTGGGGGAGCTACCATAAACAAAATTTTCCCGATTTGCTAATCAATTTTCCCCAAAAGAAATAATGTAAATACAATTAATCCGTTCCCGACACCCAGAAGTATTAAAACAAAAAAATTTTTACGTGAAATATACATGTAGTACATAAACAATAATGGGAAATGATGAATAAAAACATTAACAGCATAACACTTACCTTTATTGGAGATTCTTCTTAGTTTTATGGGAGACGGAGGAGAGAGAGATTGGATTGTTTACAGTTTGGAAGGGGAATCCCCTTCCAGCAACACCTAGGTACCAATTGTTTCTCTGGGGTTGCTTCTCTTCTCTGTTTCTTTAAGCCTGGACCACCTTGAGAGTCACTCTAGCCCTGTCTCGCAAAGTAACTGTGGAGAGAGCTCTGTTTCTGGCGCCCTCTTTAACCCTTTGAGGTTTTCGTCGTACTAGTACGTCTTTACGCGTAGGGGTTTTTTTTGACGTACTAGTACTCATAAATTCTAGCGGCCCTCAAATCTAGTGGGAGAAAGCTGGTGGGCCTTCATATGAAAGAAGGGTTATGTGGTCAGTGTGCACAGTCTAAAAAAAATCTGCAGCACACAGTGCATAATGAAAAAAAAAAAACTTTGACCATTTTTTTTTTAATAAATCAGCGACTTTGCAGTGTATTTTCGTAGGGGTATTTATTGTTGTATTTAGTTTTCTTTGGTCTCATTTTATAGAATGGAAGACATATTACAGAAATTGAGATGATTTTTGATGGTTTTACAAAAAAAGGGTGCCTTGAAATTGAGCTCAAAGTAGCAAAAAATGTTCGATTTTTTACCAAACTTCAAAAGTAAACAAATCGTGCCAAGCGTCCAATACACGTCAACTGGTGAGTCTAATATTCTTTACAAGTGCACCAATAATATTTATACCATTTTTTACACTAATGCAGTAGTCTGCATAAAAGTAAATCTTATATTTTTTGTGAAAATAAAAATTCAAAGTGGAAAGAAAAAGAATATAAGGGGGGCCTTGAGACGTGACTAATGACCAGAGGAAAATGTCATTTTAGTGCAGGAATGTCTTTCTTTTTTATTCTGGACCCTATTCGGAAATTGGGCATCTTTTGAAATTTTGTGAAATTGGAAAAATTGCAAAATTCTGACCACTGAAACGGATAGTTGAATTTCATAAATGAGTGGTTTCTTGCACCCATTCGATAGAAAAAATTTGGAGTTCTAGCGAAATATTCATGTTTTTTTTTCGACTAGTACAGTGGAAATTGGTCGAAAATGGGGCTCCAAAGTGGGCAAAAACGCCGATGCGTAAACATCGCCGAGACCGCTAACTTTGCGAGAGCATAATTCAGTACGATTTCTATCAAATTTCAAACTTTTGGTGCTTTATGATCGGGAAAAGATTCTCTATCTTTTCATAAGAAAAATATTTTTTTTTTTTTTAAATTTGGCCGACCCTGAGAACGAGTTTCGGAGAGGGCCTGTCGACCCTCAAAGGGTTAACACTTCCTAAAATGGCCCAAGACTGTCACTGTACAAAATTTCTCACCTTCTTTACCACAGGCTTGGGACTAGGAGCTTTCTTTGGAGCCATGGTATCTTATTTAGTACTTGCAAGCAATAAAATGAGTGGAATTTTTTTTTTTTTTTTTTATCACCCCTGGGCCCATTCCCACCAAAGCAGGGGGGCCCGAAAAAGAAAAACCTCACCATCATTCACTCCCTCACTGTCTTGCCAGAAGGGTGCTTACTACAGTTTTTAAACTGCAACATTAACACCCCTCCTTCAGAGTGCAGGTGGATATTATGAGGGACCTTCACTCACTGGTAAAAAATGCCAGACTGACTGGGTTGGGAGGCCTCCCCCGGGTCACACCGTGCGTACGCGTCCCGGACGAACTACTATTCGCGAGTAACCTATGAAAAGCGAGTCCATGTTTTTTACGAAAATACCCCATGATTGGCGAAATTTACGATTTCCGAGAATACAAAAAGCGAGGGACCACTGTAAAATATCAAATCAATTTCCTCACTGAAATTAAAAGAAATGCTTTTAATCCATTCCAGCCCCAAAAAACCACCCCAATTTTATTTTTATAGGTTTTTAAATAAGAAAAATGTATTTATAAAATAAGATATATTGTACACTCCACCCACTACCTTCACTCTCCACCCACCATCTCTACATCACCGACCACCCCCACTATTCTATCCACCACCATCACTACCCACTCACTGTCAGCATAGCTACGAATATGTTTTTTGTAGCATATCTGAGTATCGTAGTTGTACCATCTATATATTTTATATAGACGACCCCTTGCTAGCCTAGGGGCTAGCATGTGACTCATTTGATGCCACGTGCGAGCGGCAGTTTGCCCTTTCCTCTCTCTCAGTTCCTGGATAGACCCCAGGCAAGAACAAGGCTAGGCTGGCTTTCCCTCACGACTCTGCAATACAAGTGTTTACCAGCCATACCAAGTGTATTACACAAACCCCCTTTATCTCCTAGAAACCCCACCGTTACAACATTACCATCAGTACGCCACCCACCCCAATCACTATTCCACCCACCAACATTCACTACTCCACCCACCAACATCACTACTCCACCAACCACCATCACTACTCCACCAACCACCATCATACTCCACCCACCACCAACACTGCTCCACCCACCACCATCACTGCTCCACCCACCACCATCACTGCTCCACCCCCACCATCACTACTACCCACCCCCACCATCACTATCTACCTACCACCATCACTACTCCACCACCATCACTACTCCACCCACCACCATCACTACTCCACCTACCATCATCACTACTCCACCCACCATTATAAAGTACTCCTCCCACAACCATCACTACTCCACTCACCACTTCACTACTCACCCACTACCATCACTACTCCACCCACCACATCATACTCCACCCACCCCCTCACTACTACACACCATCCATACTCCCCCCACCACCTCACTACTCACCCCACCCTCACCACTCCACCCACCACCATCACCATCCACCCACCCCTCTCCCACTCCACCCACCACCATCACCACTCCACCACCCACACCACTCCACCCACCAATCACCACTCCACCACCACTCAACTACTCACCCAACCACACTAACTCCACCCACCCATCACTACTCCACCCACCATCACACTACACCACCACCACATCACTACTACCCACCTCATCACACTCCACCCCACCAACAACCTCCACCCACCACCATCACTACCCCCACCACCAAAACACTCCACCCACCACCATCACTACTCCACACCACCACCATCCCACCACCACCACCACCCACCACCACCATCCACCCACCACCATCACTACTCCCCCACCACAACTCCCACCCACACCATCCACTCCACCCACCACCATCACACTCCACCCACCACCATCGCTACACCACCCCCCACCACATCACTACCCCACCTCACACCACCTACCCCACTCCACCCAACCATCACTACTCCACCCCCACCATCATCACACCCCACCACCTCACTACCACCCACCACCATCACTACTCCACCACCACCATCACTACTCCACCCACCACCATCACTACTCCACCCACCACCATCACTACTCCACCCCACCATCACTACTCCACCCACCACATCACTACTCCATCCACCATCACTACTCCACCCACCCACTATCACTACACCACCCACCACCACCCACTACTCCACCCACCACCATCACTACTCCACCACCACCATCGCTACACCACCCTCCACCATCACTACTCCACCCACCACTATCACTACTCCACCTACCACATCACTAATCCACCTACCACCACTACACCCACCACCATCACTACTCCACCCTCCACCATCACTACTACACCCACCACCATCACTACTACACCCACCACCATCACTACTCCACCCACCACCATCACTACTCCACCCACCACCATCACTACTCCACCCACCACCATCACTACTCCACCCACCATCATCACTACTCCACCCACCACCATCACTACTCCACCCTCCTTAATGTTTCTGAAAAACTCTGAGTGTCAACGGAGCGATGGCTAGTAACTCAAAAAAAACTCTAAGTTAAGGCACTTGTAAGTCAAGGTACCAGTGTTAATACAAAAATTGCCTTACTTGAAACAATTTTCCTGATAAATACTTTTCCAAATGCGATGTGCAGAGGGTCCAACATAGCCAGTATATCTCTCAGGATTGAGGAGGAGATCAACATATTCGCTGTCTACAGACGACTCATCATCTAGGTAGCAGAAGCTATCCTGGGCACTGTCATGAGCTGCCCAGCGCTCAAATCCATCCAGGGACTCCTTACTGAAATTAAATTAAACTACTGTACAGTACTGTCAACTGAAAATTTTTTGAAATGTCTAACATTCACCATCCTTGTTGAATGAGGTATCTAGAATTCAAAAAAAAAACAA